CACCCAACGCACCAACACCACCACAACACCAAAGTCAACCAAAGCGACCTGTAGTTCCTGGTAGAGCGACGTGCTGGTGAATCTTTCTTATTCCAGCTCCGACCCGTCAGAAGATCTTCTACGTGTGTCGTTGTCCACCTCAAGCCAACAATAGCGTTTTGTTCCCCTCGCACAAAGTCAGCTGAGCCTCTTAATCACACAAGTCGTACATCCTTCAGGCCGCCGTCTTCTCAGCTGGTCCCCCACAGGGGGCGATTAGCCCGCCGGGAGGTGAGCCGGGCCTTCGGGGGCCTTCGGGGGCCTTCGGGGACCTTTGGGGACCTTTGGCGGCCATGGGAGAAAACGCCTTGCCTTCGGACCGGGTGTCAGGCAGAAGAACTCAGACCCGTGTGAGGGGGTCAGAGGTCACAGAGGTCCTTGGAAGACGTCTCCGTCCGGATGAAGGAGGCAATGTGTCCTTCGGTGAAGTGGGGAGAACCTGAACTACACTCTGAGGCCTGATGGGAGCACAGGAAGGAACAGCTGATTCTAATAAGTCACAGATGAACATCGATATGGAGCCGAGAGAAGGTCTGAGCAGCGCGCGCTGAAAAAAAGATAAAGACGTTTTGGTTCAATGAAAACCTTCTAGATGAAGTGTGGCGCTACATCTTCTCTCAATGTAAAGGCCTCAGGGGGTCTCGACCCCTCGGCCCGGGTGTTGAGTCCTCGGCCCGGGTGTCAAGTCCTCGGCCCGGGTGTCGAGTCCTGAGTCCGGTGTCGAGTCCTGAGTCCGGGTGTCAAGTCCTCGGCCCGGGTGTCGAGTCCTCGGCCCGGGTGTCGAGTCCTCGGCCCGGGTCTAGTGGTCAAGCAGCTCCCTGAATGTTCGGGGAGTTCCATGATAAAATCAGTTTATCAATACCTGCGATCAGGACTTGCGTTTGAGCCTTGAGGCCACAGAAACAGCTTAGTGTCCCAAGACCTCCTCCACCCCCGTCCACCAAGGCCGATCCACCAGACCGGCCGCGACACCAGAACTGCTGAGCGGCCTCAGAGAGGACGAGCAGAAAGGGGAAGGAACGGAGTCCCACCTGTTCCTGCTCCACCTTGATCACCTCGACCATTTAAATCCTCCGCTAATCATTCAAAGCCCAACAGTCCCAATGAGAACAAAGCATGATGGGAAAAAGAAAAGAGACGGAGTGAAAGACGGTGGAGCAGAAGCAGCAGTGATGGAGAGCGGGAAATAAACCTGGGAAATAAAAAAGTATTATTTATATATATATTTATTCCATTATGATAGAGGCTGTGTGGATGTACAGAGGATTCTCCGGTTCCTCGGGTTCCCCTGGCCTAGAATCGGGGATCAGGCTTACGCGTTAGAGGAGCTGATCACCTCCTCCTCCGCCTCCCAGATTAGAGCCATGAATATTCTAATGGGCCTCCTCCTCATGCTCATCAGTATTCATGGTGCTGGTGGGTCAGTTGGACGCAGCGATGCAGCAGAAGCTCCGGCTTAGAATGAACCATCTGGAGCATTTAGAGCACAATGCCCCCCACCAGCCCCCGTGTGCCCCCCAACACAACAATGAATTACATCATTGCTCACCGCCATCTTCAAATTCCTCAAAAGACTGTTGTTCCTCAGAAGAAGGAAGAGGACCAGCCGATGAGACAAGCACCTCCACACCGCGAGAGGAGCTCGGCTGAAGGACGAGAAGAAGAAGGAGCAAAACAACAACAAGCTGAAGAACAATACGAAGAAGAACATCAGACACATATTCCTGAAGAAGCGCAAAGTATCTGAATAAAAAGGATCTGAAGAACTCAATTCATGCAGCACAATAGCTTTCCTCAGGACCTCCGATGAGATCCTCCGATGATGAGATCCTCAGATGCTCCGAATAGATCTGAAGATGTTCTCAAAAGACCCTCGGATGCTCTGGTTAGATGCTTAGATGTTCTCATGAAAGAACAGCAACGCTGCACCCTGAGACGACTCTGGACTAATCAGAGAAGAGGTCCTCCCTCCAGACTGTGACTCACCTCCACCCATGGCTTCTGGGGACCTGAAGGAGAAGTCAGGAGGAGGAGCATCCGAGGAGGTGTGGATCACAACAAATGATTGATCGCTCAACACACCAGAATATGGACGACGTTGTGATGATGATAAAAATAGAAATGGCAATAATGAGATGATTGACACAAAACATCAGTTTGTATTCTATGTGCAGTTCAACCTCTTCACCTGAAGGGTCCTCCAGATCTTCAGAGCTCCTCCTGTCTCCAGGAAAACCCAAACCCAGAGATGTGACATATTTTCATAGGTGCAGCCGAACATTCCACTCATTCTCCACCATCAGGAGAATCAGGAGGAGCAGACAGGTCTCCTCCTCTTCCTCATTCTTCTCCTCCATCGTCTTCTCCTTGTCCTCCTCCCTCCTCCTCATTGTTTTCCTCATCCGTCTAGTTCTACCACCCCTCGATTCCATTGATACTCTTTGTCTCGTTCTTTCAGTGTTTGGACGTGGTTGGTGTGAGGAATGTGTGGATATCGAGCAGGTGAGGAACATCTAGTCCCTCGTCACCTTCTGTAGGCGAGTGATTTATGGCATTAACGTTCCTGTGTGTGCTGTATGTGTGTATATGGAAATGTACATTTCTTTCTCTTGACTTCCACCTTTAAAGACGTCGTCTGCTTCTCATCAGTTTCCTGGTCTCCGTGGGGGGGTTTGACCCCGAAGGTCGAACACTTGACCCCTGAAGCCCCGCTGACGTTTGTTCAGGTCGGATTAGTCCTGTTAGGAGCCTTTGTGTGTCGGAGTGGACGATGTAGAGGAATGTTTTTTAGCAATATTACCAGATGTACTATGAAGTATACAGCATGCGTTGCAGGAATACTACTAGATGTACTAGAGTCACGGGTTCATCATCATCTTGAAAAGCGAGTAAAATAATGTAATATAAAATATTATTCTTATCAATGTGCGTTGAATTAAATGTAAAAGAAAAAACGTTTCAAAAATAATTCTTCAACAGAAACCAACTCATCAGTAATAAGAAATTTATTTTTGCAACAATTACAAAGAACACAGTATTTGAAAAGCATGTTCTTGTGGATCTGATGTGCTTCTGAAGCCCCTAACAACAAAGAGACGAAGGTGATTATGGATTATTGGACCTCTTCCGCTCACGCATCCACAGCTCTTTGGTTCTTTCCATCAACACAGCTCCATTTTATTTTTGCTTCTATAAAAATAACTTTTTTTTTTCAATGGCGGATTTCATTTTTAATTTTACCCCCCCGCCCTTTTCCCGCCCCCACCTGAAGTGCAAAATATTCCACCAGCCGTTGGCGAGCGATTCCAGGAGCTCCGCCACAAAACCACCCGAAAATAAAAAGTGTGTCTCGGTGCCGAATGGGAGGCTCCACTGGGACCGGGTCCATTTAGACCAGAATCCCAACTGGGTCACGATTGGCCTCCTTTTGAGTTTCACTCTTAAGTCAATGATTGCGTCATCGTCTTTTATTCCTGCAGAAACGAAACCAAAGAAAGCGACGAGACGGGAATCCAACGTTGGTTTTAAAAAGTCGGGATGCTTTTATTTTGGAAATCAACTATTCTGAATTCAAAGAGAAAACGCCCAGTTATTAACTGTGATTAATAATAACGCATTGATATTCTGACAGGTGTGACGTAAAGTTACACGTGATTGTTTTTTTCTACGCTGCCCCCTAAAAAACGAGCGTCACGTAACAGCGCCGAGGTCAAGAGCTTTGGAGGACTCGTGGAATCTAAAGAAACAAAAGAAAAGGCAGCGGTTCAATTTCATCCTCAACCCCCTCCCGCAGGTATTGGTGATAGTCTGTCAGTAGAGCTCCAGTTCCCTCTGAACTCTGGGTAAATTCTGTACATTGCATAGCTCTTGGGGCACTTATTTCCATCCATGGGACTCAAGGCGTTTCAGTGCGGACTGAACCGAGTGGCATCTCCTCACCTTAAGGTTCTGTGGCAGTTGAACGGCACGGCGGGTCGGCCTGTTCTTACTTTTGGGGTCACGGTCTCAAGCTTCCAAAGGGGACAGAACCTTTGAACCTGAAGTTCACATCTCAGAGCCTCAAAACTTGAGGGATCATTTTTTTTTGACTTCCCCAATGACTTAGAAGATCTGAAGACATCTAAAAGTAGCCACCTTCAGCCTGGGTAGAAGTCAGACTGCCTCCCTCCTGGGGCGGGACGCGTCACGACCCCGTGGTTTCGCAGTGGAACTCTGAGGACGCGGCGTGGACATGACTCCTGGTTCCAAGTGCTTTACGTTGGTGAGGTTTCTGGAGTAAGGCTCCTCAGGTCGGGTTCTAAGAAGAAGCCCCCTTTCCAAAAGAGGCGGGGCCTCGTCTACTGACGGCAGGAAGCCGAACGTCGTCACTATCTCACAGATATCTAACGAAGGACTTCACAGACTGTTCTCCGAGACGTGCAGGAGAGCTCCTCACGCAGATAAAAGAAAATACATCAGCAGACATAAATATATGTACAAGTTGTTGTGCGTGGTCCATAAATATTCTGCTCGCTGTGAACAAGGCGGCGCTCAGGCGCAGCCGCACTCCTCCACGATCATATTCGGCACGTCCCGCTTCACGATGTTGTACTCGTCGTCGAAGTAGAGCATGGACATTGTGCTGAGCCTGGTGGGGATGCAGCAGGAGTTCATGGAGCCGGGACTCATGCCGCGCATGCGGTACTGGTTGACCACCGCCGTGTGGAAGGAGGAGGCGGAGCCGGGGACGCCCGCCATGTAGGCCGGGCAGTTCCCCTCGCAGTAGTTCCCAAAGTACCCTGAGGGCGCGATGATCCAGTCGTTCCACCCGATGAGGCGGAAGTCGATGTAGAAGCGCTTGCGGCAGCAGAGGCTGCTCCTGCCGTCGCACTCCAACCCCCGCTTGCGGATGCGGTGGCCGGGGTCGGACCGCCGGACCCGCACCACCAAGAAGGGTCGGTGAGACTCGTCCGCGTCGCGGTCCATCAGGACCGGCGCCGCCGCCGCCGCCCCCCCCTCGCAGCCCTCGCAGCGCACATCCAGGTTCTGGCGGCGCTGCCCCTTCTGGAAGGCCAGCCGCAGGGCCTCGGTCAGCGGGAAGGTGTGCCACCCGCTGCGCTTCAGCTCCAGCCGCTTCTCCACCAGGTCCCAGCGGCCGCCCGGGCCCGGCTCCTGGTAGTACACCTTGGCCGTCAGCTTGCGGCGCGGGCGGGCCTCCGAGGGGGGGGGCGGCAGCTTGAAGTAGAGCCAGAGGGTGGCCTGGGTCACCTGGAGGTTCTGGTTCCCCTCGCTGGAGACCAGGAAGAACAGGCTGGACTTGGACGTCACCATGTCGTCTGGGGAACAGGAGAAGATGGGTTAGCAGAGGAGGGGGGCGTCTGGAAGCGAGACAGCGGTGCGGGGGCCCTCGACGCGGCCCACATTTGAAAAGGAGGCGGGGCTTAAGAGGGTTCAAAGACTCTGTGTTGAAGGCGGTCTGATTAGTGCTCACCTAAATCCCCCCGGCTTATATACAAATGTGGGGGAGGTCAGATCCTTCAGAGCCTGAGAGCCACCTGACTCTCCCACTCCCCCCCCGCCCCCCCCCATCCAGGGAGGAGAACTCTACCGCTCCCCTCCTCAAGACCTCACAGGGTTCTCGTTAGCATCAAAGCTAGCTATTAGCTCACGCGTCTCACGGGTGTGCGGCGATCAAAGCCTGGAGGAGCCCGGGAGGATGCTGGGTAATTGGCGGTTGTGGCGACCAGCCGGGAGACTCAGACAAATATTTAGCTCTCGGTTCTCTGGCCTGACGCATGTTTAGTGAGCAATAAATAAAACAAAATTCACCCTTCATGAGTAGAGGAGCTAAATTTAGTCTGCAGCCTCAAAAGTTTGAGTAGGTTTAGATGAAGATGTTCCTCCTTCTGAAGCTTCTACCTCCAAGGTCACGAATAATATGAACAATTCCTCAATAACGTCTCTAAAAACATGGAAATATAAAATGTGTTGATTTGCAGAAGAATTTCCTTCAAAGAACAAAACAAAAATGATTGTGGAATTATGATATAATGACCACGACAGCCTGCACATTAAAATAAACATGAGAATTTAAAACAGGAAAAAAGAGCGCTTTATTTAACATGTAAAATAAAACATATATTTAATATATTTAAATAGTCAGAAAGTGGTCACATGGTCTTTAGATTACATTACAAGATGTCATTGAAGGCTCCTCAGAATACACACAAACAGACACACACACTCAGCAACACGGACGGGTGGGCAGAGCAGGTCGTGGTCAACAAAGACGAGAAGATGAAGACGGGTCTTCATTTCTGTCAGACACCTGAACGCAACGCGCATCAGCTCAAACTACATGTATTTCTAAATGAATTCATCCGTCATATAACATCCGTTTCCAGTAGACGTCACACAAATAAAACGCTTCTGATTACACTGTAAACAACACGTGAGGACAGCTTTGTGTGCACAGGCTTTTATTTTGTAGTAACATCTGGTGAACATCAGTGTCCTGATGACTTCTTGAGGGATGAAAGTATCATTGCTCGTTATTAAATATCACAAATCAGAGTTCCTCTTTAAGCAGGACAACGTGCCGCTTGTTGATTTGATGATGACAATCAACATCTGTATATAAACATCTGTATATCAACAGCCGTCTATGAACATCTGTATGAACTTGTATATGAACATATGAACATCTGTATATGAACATCGGTCTATGAACATCTGTATATGAACATCGGTCTATGAACATCTGTATATGAACATCCGTCTATGAACATCTGTATATGAACATCCGTCTATGAACATCTGTATATGAACAGCCGTCTACGCACATCTGTATATGAACATGAGTACGGCCTCCTCCTCTCCTCCACTCACCTCTCTCAGCGAAGCTGATGATCTCGGAGTTCTCCTCCATCTCCTCGCTGCTCCTCGCGTGCCCGTCCAGGTCGGGGATCTCCATCCGGCCGTCCTTGCGCAGCCTTCCCGCGTGGAGCTTGCGCAGCGCCGTCACCATGGCGACCCTGGATACCGCGTGCGTGATGTTGGGCCTCTCGCGCATCTGCAGCCGGCTCAGGATGTGCCTCTTCACGGCATCCATGAAGTGCGCGTCCAACTGCGCGGCCCCCCCGCCGCAGGATGCGCACGTGTCCCGGGACTCCGAGCGCGCCTCCGGCTCGGTGCCGGGCGGAGAGCAGCGGGTCGAGAGCGCGCAGCCCGCGAGGAGGAGAGCCAGTCCGAGGAGGCGACTCCTCATTTTCTCTGTCTCTGTCTGCCGGTGTGTGTGTGTGTGTGTGTGTGTGTGTGTGTGTGTGTGTGTGTGTGTCTCCCTCTTATTCTGCTTTTCTCTCTCCGGTCCAACTTCAGGTCAAGAAGAAGATGCGCGCATCTCCGTGCGTAACGGGTTCCATCAGGAAGACAACTTATCACATGTGACGGCGGGTCCCTCTGGTGACTCGTCCGCCGGTCCTCTTGTCCTCCTCCTGTCCTCCTCCGGACTCTGTCTGGTTCGGAGCAGCTTCACAGCATCACTCTGTCACGTCGGTTTACTCCACAGTGACAGTCAGGGTTCATCCAGCGACCCCCGTGCGGTGCTTTTACTCTCTGACCCGGTTCACTCGGGTCCCGGCGCGGTGCTGCCGGAGTGCCGTTGCGCAGCGAAGAAGAGGAGGAGCAGGAGGAGCTGAGCCAGGGAGGAACGTTTCCATTCTGGCGTCTGAGACCCGGAGCCGCCACACCGAAAAGTTTTATATGCAGCGGGGCGGGGCCGGGGGCGGAGCCAGGGGCGGGGGGCGGGGGGTGTTAAGCCCGGAGATGGGTTCAAACCGAACCAACCTGCGTGTACTGTAAGACAAGTACTACGGTATACGAGAGACAAAGTACTCCTTCACGGCACTAGTATTTACTCCATGAAAGTATTATAATATATTGAGGGAAATGTAATTTAAAGTCTTTACTTTAGTTCATGTACTGTTTAATGTGTTTTTTAAGTAACTGAATATAATAATAACAAGGTAATATCCCGAGGTACCTACAGGTGTTTTTATTTACGTGTATATAAAACTAGATGACGTTTGATTGACAACACATCATCCAACATCCCAATTGAATCAATGTATTACCAAAATAAAAGCCTCAGCAGATCAATAATCGATATGAAGCTCAGCGGTTAAGCTCGTGTTGACCCGGTTGGTTTTTTAGTCACCCTCTTGAAAGATTCATAACGCAGTTTTTACCGAATCCTTAATGTTACCGACAATACTACATATACTGCTTTAACTTGTTGGGTTAAATGTGTAAAATTATGCTGAATGATGAAATGTGTTGTGAAATGGAATTAAATATAAAAGGTTTTCTCATTCCCTCTAATTAAAGGACATCCATGCGTGGACAAAGTAGTGAAACAGCGACATCTTTGTGTCAGACAGAGGAACTACAGGAGCTTTATTGCCTAGATCCCGGAGAGTTTGATGACAACAAAAACCACAACAACACGTAACCTGAAAAAAAATAGTGCGACTACAGACAAGTGCGTATTAAAACGATTTTCCGATTAATAATATTTAAATGATAACAACTCCGATTTTAAA